TCCTATCAGTCTTCAACTTATTAAATCTCTCATCATCAATTTTAAGCTATTTCTTTAAATCATCTAGATTATTGAAGGTGCCTTCTTTGTGTTTAAGACGTATTTTAATCCTCTCATCCTCATTGAAGCCAAGAATTACAAGTGACTCAAAAGGTGCATTATTGAGATATATTTCTTCATTTACTATGTAAATATAATAGACATTAGCAGATATTATGATCAAAAAGGGATTCCAAATTATAAACATATCCGATGCAAATTGTGTCTGACTTGTAAAAGTATATCCATAAAACTTTTGAAAATTTTTCAGACACTAAAGCGCTATTTGGTTTAATATCTATAGGCAGGTTTTCTTATCTGCATTCGTTAAAAATAATAAAACCTAATCTTTCTTCTCAACTTTCATAGCTTCAGTAACCTTATTATTATATAAGAAAAAGATTGGTTAACTAACAATTTAACAATACATGTGCACTTAATATGTGAAGCATTATTGTACCTTTTTATACTTATTATTGAACATGCCTTGGTTAATGACAATATTAGAAGTAGTTAAAGATGGTCACCGCAATTAAAAAAAATGGCGCAATTGAGTTGCAACTTGTGGCGCAATTAAATTTCCTTATGGCGCAATTAAGTTGCAACTCAATTGAAATTTGAAAATAATTATGGGGACTATCTTTAGAAATAGTAGTTGATTTTGATTATTAAGCTACGCAAATTTCATCTGCAAACTCAGAATTTTTATTAAGAAATCCAAAGGCATCAAAGGGAGTCCCAAAAGTATTAATAAAAACACAACCAATATAACTTTTGATATTAATATTCTTCAATAAATCAAGGCTAATATAACCTTTTCTTACTTCTGTTATATTTGCATATTTCACTTGATTATTCTCGTAAGTTTTAGTGACTATATTATATTAGAATAGGATTTGAGTTTGATGTGATTTTTTATGTTAGAAAAAATCTGCAAAATATAATACTTGGGTATTGATGTAGTAACTTATACAATTTGATATCTTCTTGAGGTAAGTCAACTTCAACATCTAGAAAACTAAGAGAGAAATTCACATCCTTACAAAGGATCTTTAAATTAATCTTTTCGTATTCTATTAAGCAGAAGAGACTAAGACGTAATGCTCAGAATTTGTTATTAAAATCTTTGAAATTCTGCTAATTCATATTTTAACATGGATTTCCAATATATCATTCCAGAGTCTTTAGAATTTTCAATGATTGCACATACCCATACATAAAGTAACTGAATAAGGTATTCCTCAGTTTGTTCTATTAGAATCAGGTTTATAACTCTCATTAAACTAAGTTTCTGATATGTTATTGATCTTTTGTTAAGATCAACCACATCATCCTTTGAACTGGAAAACTTAATATAGCTTTTGCGAGAGGTATTGTTAATCAATGTGAGTTTAGATGAAGACAATATTTCTTTACAATTCTGCATTTGATATCTTTCATAATTTTCTCGATATTCACGTTATAAACAGCTATCTCCTTTTCTGTCATCATGTTTGATTCTAATTTTTCTGAAAAATATGTGTAATAATATTCCAATATTTTTACATATCCATCAATATCACTAATACTTATTCGAAAATATGAATGCAGACAGATATATTCATTATCAAATAGATTCATAATTTTGCCAATATCGATTGCATCATCATCATTAAGTAAAGATAATATAAGAAAAAGTGGTTCGTGTATAGAACTAAAGATATATTGATCCAAAAGTCCTTCAACAATTCTAGCTAGAATGGGAATGTTAAAAATGTTTTTACATAATTCCTCCAATAATGTTTATAAGATTCTTAAAGGCGTCTTTATTAAGATTATACAATTTATTAATTTTATCAACTCCAAGAACCAGGATCAGTAGAGAATTAGAAGCTATTTCTAGATTCATTTATTTAATAGCATCATAATAAACAACTTGGAGAACAGTACTCAGTATAAAGCTTGAAATATTCAAATATTCATTGCATAATGAATGAAAAGAAGAAAAATCAAATTTGCCAATAATTGGTTATGATTAGAAGTACTCAAATAGAATTTATATTGTAAGAAATGCCTGCGTGCTAATCATTTTATCTATATTATCAGTAGGGGATCCATTCTCATAGGTAGTATTTATAACAATCATATTGGTAAAAACATTATATAATTCTCGTATTTCTTTATCTTTATTTTTAATTTTAACTTTAACTTTATTCTTTAGTAATTTTCTAACTTCATCGAAAAATCTGCTCTTTCTAACTCTGCTAAGATAGAAATTAAATGAAGGCTTTTGTCACTTTTATTATGATTTTAAATCAGGTTACGATTCTACTCAAAGTTGCTGTTGAGCCATTCCATAGGATGTTAATAGTATCATATCACTCATAGAACTTAAGTTTCTCACCAAAACCTCTAACAAACTGAAATAGTCAATTTGATTTTAGTTAAAGGAGCTAAAGATATGTTATTAAAAAGATGATATAGCTAGAAAACTTATTCAGTTTCAGTTATGGTTCAATGTAAATTATTATATTCATTCGTAGATAGAAAAAGAATCATTCCAGTTAGGTCTTAAAACAAAGATTTGTTAGAAGTTTTTTGATATCATTTAGACTAATAGATACTTAAAGTTATTTAGATACTGTATACTTTTTTAGCTCTTTGCTAAAAGGGATCTATTTTAACGTGAAAAAAAAGAAATCAAACTAAATTGATATTTTATTACTGCAAATTCTTATTTGTGAGGTAATCATTAGAAAATATTTACCAGTGGTGGGGATAATGGTGATGATGGAACTTCTAGATTTATATTTATTGTCCAATTTATCTTAAAAAAATATATTAAACGATTCATCAAGTTCTATCTCTTTTCTATTAAGTTTTTATACAATTTTTTCTTTAGTAGAAATATCTTGTTCTTTAATATCTTTAAGCTTAAAACCTTTAAGTTTCCAAAATTTTAATTTGTTTATATCAGAAATATCAACTACTTTATGAATATAGTTCCTAAGATGTAAAACTTTTATAAGTCTAAAGGAATATTTGTATTTATATTAATTTTGACGTATTTATCTTTATTCTTATTATCTTTATAAATGTTAACTGCATGAACTTCAGGACCGTTACTTGAAAGTATGTAAAAATAGAATGACGCATCTATTCTGATAATATTTCTATAAAAATGATAAAATAAGTTCTGGTTTTTAAGAGAAAATTAGAAGAAAAACTTGAGAAAGTTTAAGAGAAGTCTAAATAATATATATATCTTATATAACTTTCTGAATACATCATGACTGATAGACTCTTGCATAAACTTTTAGTAGCTTATTATAACATAATACAGCAAAAATTAATAAGCATAGTAAAAGTAATTTATCATTTTAGTACATGAAAAAAATGGTTTTAACTTTACTTATTAGAT